AAAAAAAAAAAAAAAAAAAAAAAAAAAACGAAGAAGAACCAGCGAGTTCCGAAGTAAGTCTCCATGCATTGTACAGAATCCACTAATTTTTTTTTAGTAATTTGAATTATTTGATCCATTCTTTGGCGAAATTGAAATATGGCTTTTTGGCTGTACGTGGCTTGTGGCTGAACTGTACACAGCTGATAACTAGCAATCAACAGGGTGAGAGCTCAAGTCGCCAAGTGTAAGTGGCTTGTGGCTGGCTTGTGGCTGTATAACTGTCAAGTGCAAGACTGTGACAGGATACCCCACTTTCGAAGAGAGAGAGAACTCATTACGGACAAAACGGTTATTGTCTTCCTGCAAGTGGATGGCTTAGGCCTTACTGACACTTGGATATTTTTGGATGCACCTGTTGTGCACTTTCGCCGCGGAAGTAGCGCGAAGATGAGGTAGTATATATCGATCTGGTCTGGATTCAAAATTTATTGTATTTGCTGTTAACGATGTCAAGTTATTAATGGCAATTTAGTCGTATCTGTCTGTTATGAAAACTGCTGAGTCAGTCCGACATTCAGTTACTCAGTCATTCACTCATGTGAAAACGGTTTTCACTCAGTCATTCACTCATGTGAAAACGGTTTCCACTCAGCCATTCAGTCATGTGAAAACGGTTTTCACTCAGTCATTCAGTCATGTGAAAACGGTTTTCACTCAGTCACTACGTCATGTGAACACTGTTTTCACTCAGTCATTCAGTCATGTGGAAACTGTTCTTCACATGACTCGGTCATTCACCCACTCAGTCATTCAGCCATGTGAAATCCGTTTTTCACTCAGTTGCAATCAGACTTGACTTCAACTTGACTTTCAATATGCATACATGCAGGTGCCGATGGCAGATCGACTTCCTCAAAGTAGGATCAGCAACAAGACTGAGATGGCGCAGAGCGCCCACACAGGAAATTCAGAGATATGGCCTTCAGCCAGGGACTCAGCTCAAGTCAACTTGTCACATCTGGTGGCTATGGCGTCTGAGCGCGCGTCTGAAATTCCCACCTGCACACTGTATGCACCATCAGACACACTTACACTCACTCGCGCACAAGTACACACGCACTAGGATCTACCCTGAATGTCCACACACAAACGGCGAACACAGCAGTCCGAGGAGGAAAATAGACTTCTATATGAGCCACCGACAGAGCGATGTGCTCATAGTTTATCACCACCAGGGCGGGCTGTTGCGGATCATATCCTGCAGCAGCTGAATGCCCTTGCGTTGGACCGATCCTCCCTGTCGTCGTCTGCCCACAGAGAAGGAATACATACTGAGGAAGCCCAAGAAAGATGCTCCATGCTGTTTTGTGATGACCCGCCGGAGACTCAACTAGCATGTGGTTCACATGCCTTGTGCCGTGAGGATTATGAAGGTATAGTCCATGCAAGTTTTTTCTTCCATACGTACGATGACAGTCAGTACTGTACTCGTGTACGGCACCCCGACATGTCATGTCCAACTTGTAGACAGGGGCTGGAACGGCAATGCCTCTATAATTGCGGTCGACGTGCCTCTGTGTTCCTAGCATGTACGAGCCACGTAGCCTGTGACATCTGTATGCGCCGTGCCATTCGATGCAGCAACTGTGACTGCAAAAATTGGATGCGGTGCTTCCATAGCCCACACCCGCACTGGTCCTGTCCGGTCTGTAGGGGTGGCCACTCATAGCGGTGAATATTTAGAAAGCTGTGAGACCCGTCATACACCTTTCCCGTGCTCTTGCATGTCACTCTATCCTGCCCTCCACATGTTTCTTTCCTTCCCGTTGCCCCTACCTCCCCTGCCCCATACTCCTAGAGAACTCCGCCTTCTATCCCTTACCCTCCACCCTCCCCTCCACTCCCTTTGTACTACTAACACATACATACGAATGAGCATCATTAAGAGTATAGACGATATGAAGATCAGAAATGAAATGAACGGAAGTATGAAGATGGAGGACGGACACAAAAGCTGTACAAGCTGAAGATCTGAAATGAAATGGACAGGAGTATGAAGCTCTGAAGAGATGCACAGGAGCATACCTTCCCTTTTACTCTGCCTCCTGAAATAAYGTGCAAGTGGGCCGTGGAGGCACACGGGGATGTKGGCAGCTGCCGCTCAACCACAATCAACGTGGGCAGCCTTGCGCGTAAGAGGCACAGTAAAAGGGGAGCTGCAAGAACAATGAAAGGGGTACCCCAAGAACAACCAAAAAACTGTCTAAAACAGTCTAATTATAAAATTGCTTTAATATGTTGGACGTCTCAAATGCTCTCGTTGTCTGCAATGGGATAAAGACTGTTTGATTCTGAATCTATTCACCTGGGTGGAATTGGGGCTGTTGTGGGGAAAATCAAAAACACACACAAACACACATATATCCTATCTGCTACACTGGCGGCTATGGCTGCTGTCGTCTCCCTCCTACTAGCAGCTATGGCCGCTCGCCCTCTCCCGCCTTGGGGCACTGGCTGACCACCGGCGAACCTCAACGCACAAGTCACTTGGACAGCGCTTCCACGCAGCTCGCAGGTGAATGAATGCGTGGCTGGTCTCTGGCTCTTTATTTATACTGTTTCGTTAGGTGGTCTGGGCCTGCCCGATGTCCCAGGCCCGTAGGATGTGCAGTCCCACTTGATACTTGCTGACTGGACAGGGTGGGCTGGGACTGGGACTGGAGCTGCTGACTAGACTAGGACTAAGCCGTACTTTGCTGACTCAGCTACAGTCGACTGACTTCTACAGCTTCGAAGGGCTAGGTAGCGCGACTTCTAGAAACTCCTAGTGTACGTTTGACTGACCCTTCGCTACTCTTAGGGCTAACCTACAGGACTGGCCCCAGGACTGCTAAGACTAAGATCTATGGTTCAAGTCCGCACGACCTGCCTGGGCACACAGCACACAAGCATATGTCTTTGGGGACAGGTCACGGGTTTGAAACCCACAGCGGTGACGGGTAACTGTACCCGGGGTACGGGGTAGGTCTAGGGATCGAGCCCTGGGATCTGCAATTGTCCTGCGAACTGTGTGAAACCCTTTCGCAGTTATCCAGTCATGTGAAAACTGTTTTCACTCTGTCATTCGGTCATGTGAAAACTTTTTTCACTCTGTCATTCGGTCATGTGAAAACTGTTTTCACTCCGTCATTTTGGTCATGTGAAAACTTTTTTCACTCTGTCATTCAGTCATGTGAAAACTGTTTTCACGATGAAACGTACGGAAGATGTATGCTTAAGGTATGGGAGGGTCAGAAGGACCTTTTTTTTTTCTGCAAACTAGAGAAAGAAACTTCCAGAAAGGTAGCATTGTGGCTAAGGAGAGAAGTTCCACTTGAACTCAATGTGATTAATTAATAATTAATAATTACTGGTGTACCAACAAATCAATCCTGGCTGTTCAATCGAATAGTCACTGCGAAACAGGATATGCTTCATTATCGGAGTACCTTGGAGCCTCGTGTTCGTTTTATTGTTTCTTTTTTGAATGGGGGTAGGCCCTAATCTGTTAGTATCCATCTGATTCCATTCGATTCGAGCTCATGCCGTGTTTAATTAAACAGTTAAGTTGAGTTAACAACGTAACATGTGTGTGTGTACAATTCAGCCAGATGGACTGGGTGAGCATCTTGTCTTGTCTTGTCTTGTGTTCTATTGAAGCTGGTTTTTTTTTTTTTTTTTCCCTGCTCTGCACTTTCATTGCACTATCACTTACCAATGGCTGAACTGTGTGGTTTATTCTGTGCAACTGCTCCTCTATCTGCTTTATAAAATAGGCTCTCCCCCTCCCAGCTATTTCTTCCCCTCCTCCCCCCCTCTCTTTAAAAGCCCATCTTGTTGTAGTGGTGGGGTATCCGAGCCCACCAGAGCCTCCCTGCTGTTTCATTCTCTCCTGTGCCTAACCTTCATTTGTTTCGAAAGGGCGATGGCCTTGAGACATCATCTACAAACTGACTGGCTCACTACTCACGTAGAGAAGTCGATTGCAAAATCTCGCCTGCTGATGATGAGGATGGTGGCGATGGTCATGATGATGATGATGATGATGATGATGATGATGATGATACTCCTTTGTTGTGACCTTGCGCAGCGGGCTGCATCCTCAGCATCTCTTCTATGTTGCCCGTTTGTTGCAGCGGTTACTTGCTAATAAATTGGGAAAAAGTCGACTGCAAAATGCCTGCCTGCTGATAATGACGATGGTAATCATGATGGTAATCATGATGGTAATCATGGTGGTGACAATGATGATGATGATGATGATGGTGATGATGATGATGATGATGATAATGATACTCCTCTGTTGCGACGTTGTGCAGCGGCCTGCATCATCAGCATCAAAGGCTGAACTGTGCAGAAGGAGTCTGGCGCAGATACTGGTTAGTGTTTTTTTTCCGGATTTTCCGTCCCTCTCTCCCTCTCCCCCTCTCCCCACGGTTGCCCCTCATCAGGTACCTGCTTGGATCCTCCCCACTGTAGATGCTTGGCCTCATCCAAACAACCACTGGCAGTGTTTTCTGGAAGAGAAAAGGGATCCTGGGTTGCACTTTGAGACTGGTGAATCGATTGGTGTTTTTTCGGGCTGTCTCACATTCTCCAACCGACTGGTGTTTAGGGCTGTCTGAGCCTGTCTCTCAATATCCAACCGACTGGCAGATTGGTTTGTTGGCACTGGCAGACCCATGCTACCTCCAATGACAATTGTGCGGCCCCTCCCCGCAACGTTGCGCACAAACCCATTGGTACCTTCCGACGCTTCTGTGGCGTCCTCGAGATTCAAGATCGGATTGCAGATGCTATTTGCAATCGACTTACCGGTCGACAGTTGCAGCCCCACATGAGATCGATGGGATGTTTTTGTTCATCCGTGGTTTACGCGGAAAGGCCATTCCGTTGTTTCATCAAAGCAAGGTATAATGTCATGAACGGCAAACGCAATTCCACATGATCCCAGCTGGTTTGGGAATACCTGGCCAATCTTCTTCCATTAATGTACTCTGCCTGATCGGCACGTTCTACCTGGCAAAGCCCACCTAGAAACCGGCAGAAATACGAAGCTAATTCACAAAGAAGAGAGAAAAAGGGAGAAGTTGGGGGCAGGGAGAGGAGAGACATGCGGAGTGAGTGAGAGAGAGAGAGAGCTGTCTCTTATACACATCTAGATGTGTATAAGAGACAGGTATATATATATATTTTTTCTGTCACTTTTTTTAATTCGTTTTTGGTCCGACTGAGCAAGTGGTCCCTGGTAACGTATATTTTTTTTATTACGGATTATATCAGATCATTACTCAGCCAGCTGACTCTCACAAACCTCATACGTAGTAGAGGGGCGAGTGAGCGGTTCACAGGCTACAGACGGTGAATTAAACATCTGCAATGGACCTTCCTCCGTACAATGACCATCATTTCACATACCCACCACACCTGCTGACCCTCTTCTCTCCCATGCAATCCAAAGAAAGCAGCCAAAAAAAGGAAAATGAAGCCCTGTAGCATCTGAGTGAGGGAATTGAGGGTTTCCTCTCACTAGAACCTTTTCGGCACTACTCTGGATGTGATTGCGGCCAGATACATGCCGTGCCAGACGTAATTGCAGTCAGATGCATCCAGAAAAGTCCTCGGATGAGCACACCCTGAATAGAATTAGATTCAGGTGAAACAGCAAAGGGAAAAAAAAAAAAAAAAAAAAAACTAATCATAGTATTATCATACAGAGACTTGAACTCTCAAGTTCTCAACTTATCTTATCTTAAAATTTATATGTTGATATTGCTCGATGACAACAACATAATTGAATGATAAATTGATCATAATTTCCTCTTGCCATAATCTCCGCCCTTCCATTTACCAAAGGATCATAGCTGAGGTGACCCAAAAAAAAAAAAAAAAAAAAAAAAAAAAAAACGGATTACAGCTGCACCAAGTGTGTGTGTGGGGGGGGGGAAGGATTGCAGCTGGCACTGATCAATCATCAGTGCATTGGCACAAGGGGGGGGGAAGGATTGCAGCTGGCACTGATCAATCATCAGTGCATCGGCACAAGGATGACACTCGAAAACGAAAAAAAAAAAAAGGATTGCAGCTGGCACTGAGCAAAAATCAAGAAATGGTCCTTCTTTTCCCGAAAACTCGGGAGCTTTGCTCCCTGAATTGTAGTCAGTTCAGGTCTCCAAAAAAAAAGCAAAAAAAAAAGCAATGATGAGTGCATCTCTACCCTGCAGTAAGAGTTTTCCTCACACCAGGGAATCGTAATATC